CGCAGAAGATCCAGTTGAGTACCCCTGCAAAAACAGAGTAGGAGGGCACCAAAAAACAGCAAAAAACCTAATCTATACTACCAAAAAAGACAACTTCGAATTCACGCACATCAGCTCATCGAAAGTTCAAGTCACCTTTTCTGGGTTGCATCCTTCAAATGTTCCTAGGATCATGACCATTTCCACACAAGAAACAGAGTTGCAGCTCGGAGAAGAGTTTATGGACGTGGGTTTGGGTGTCTCGGTTGTACGGAAGCTGAACAGTCACTATTGGAAGTAAAGCTAGCTCTGTGTAACTTTCTATTTTGGGTTGGCGCTGTTTTTTCAATTTTGAAACCTCCTACGATTGAGAAGAAAAGCTCTCAAACTAGAGAGAGATGCTCTCAAACAAGAGAGAGAAACAAAAGCTATTGTTTCCTCCTTGCAACTGCCCTCGGCATCGGGTTAGTATTCACTATGTAGAATATTTGGCTGCTTAAGTATTGGTTTGTGACCAATGCCCAAGGTGTATCTATCATTACCAAAATGTAGATTAAACATTTATACTGAGTTTTCTTATTAGAGTAAATCAAGTTAGTGGTGTTGCATTAGTTTCATGCTCATTCACAAAATTGTCTTTTCCTAGTTGCCGCTTACATATTTTTAAACCATGAACAGTATCTTTTATGAAGTTCATTTGTCTCTTTTTGAAAATTTTCTTCAGGTATGGAAATGAATTTCTTTTTCATCTTGTCGGCCTCTCCAGTAGATTTTCTTGATCCAAATAATTTTCTGCCATTGCCTCCTTTCAAAATTGGAATTTCTGTAACTTTACATTATTGGTTTGTCAATAATTAAATTGGATACTTGAAGCAAATGTTTCTGCAACAATTAATATGCACTGGTTAAATCATGAGTATCTTTGTAAGTTTACAGCAATTGCTCAGTTCAATACCCAGTATTCTTTTTTATATCCCCTGATTGTCAGAAAGGTTTTCAAATTGGTCTCTCAAGTTTCTATTTCAATCAGGGAGTAAGTGCTGTATTCAGTGCTGCTGGATATTGAACTCTCACAATTATATGCAAACTCTTTAGCCTGACGGCAAACCAATATTACCTTTATTTTGTTTTTTTCTTTTTTAATAAAAAACTTAGCTTCTCTGCCCCTTGATGACTCTAAGTCAGATAATATTTGAAATCTGCATTTCCATTGTACAAAATGTAAAAACTAATAACACTTGTTTTTATTACGGATTCGTAAAATTCTAATTCGCAGGGTGGTCTAGTTCGGGAAAAATTGTGGGATTTCCTAGTAAATGAACCTGGAGTTGTAATGGAAGAAGGCTTTCCTAATGCCACTGGCAAGGAGCAGTCAGTACGGGGTATGAGGACATCAGAGTTCTGTTTGCATCCAGCTGGGGACACGCCAACCTCGTGTAGACTTTTTGATGCCATTCAAAGCCTCTGTATACCTGTAATTGTCAGTGACGACATTGAGCTACCATTTGAAGGAATTGTGGATTATGCAAAATTTTCAGTATTTGTTGCTGTTAGTGATGCATTAAGACCAAATTGGCTTGTCAGCCATCTCAGAAGCTACTCTGATGAACAGAAGAACAGGTTCCGTAGAAATATGGCCCAGGTTCAGCCTGTATTTGATTATGATAATGGTCATCCTGGTGGTATTGGTCCTTTGCCTCCCAATGGGGCGGTAAATCACATATGGAAAAAGGTTCTGCAAAAACTGCCCCTTATAAAAGAAGCCATAGTGCGAGAGAGGAGAAAACCTTCTGGTGTTTCAGTTCCACTCCGTTGCCATTGTACATGAATTATTCAATTGAATGGTATTTTTATTAATTTGTTGTAACAATTCCCTCATTCCCCTCAAATTTTATCAAAAATAGTTTTCTTTTCCTTTTGATGAGTTGATTCTTTATTGAGATATGGTTCATTAGGACCACAGACCTTTTCCTCTCTTTGCTCTTGAATTTCCAGAGCATGAATCTCTTGATCAATTTAAATCATATAGAATGGATATCTCTTTCTAATTGCCTACTGGAGAGGGATATAGTGGTAGTGACCAAATTGCTTGTACTAAACTTTAAAGGCAGAAAAAGAACAGTTTTATGACCTTGTTATTCAAGGCAATTTCTCGTGGAGATAGGTTTTATGATTCTTTCCATCTGAAGATGCTAGCAAATATGCTGCTACTTGATGCAGCACCCCTTTCCAAGCCAAATCTTGTAGGCATTATAATAAATGTTTCTTTTGGTTTCATCCAAGGAAGGCAGCAGGTGGGCGAAAAAAAAAAAAAAAAAAAAAAAATCTTTTGGTTTGAATGGAATGTCCATCTATTTGTTGTATAGCTTCCGAAAAAGTTGTATTACTATCTATTTCTTTTCTGTTTTATGAGTCCATTCCTCGTTGAAAAAGCTCATCATTGTTGCTCCAGAAATCATCTTTCATCAGTTATTATTTTCAAGATAACCATAGTCTAGATTGATGAATTTTCACACTTGATGGACAGATAAGCCAATGCGTTCTGGAAAGGAATCTGAGAATGAAATGTGCTTTAACGTTTTATGGTCTCTCAAGACATTGTCATTTTAGGTATTAGCTTTGGATTTGTCTAACGTGTTTCTAATGGGCACTCGTTAGTACACATAAATTGCATTTAACTTATAATGTGAATGGACTATTGCAATTATTACACTCCCTGCATTTAGACAATTTTTTAAAAATAGTTACATTTTTTCAAAAAAAAAAAAAAATTTAACACCTCTATTAATGAGTGTGCATTTTTCAATGAGCACTTGTTAGCCAAATCGATTAACTTTAAGAGATGTAATGAGTTAAGAAGTCCTTTTGATGAGTTGATTCTTTATTGAGATATGGTGCATTTTTCTTGGCATCCTTAAGAAGTCCATATGGTAAGGACTGTTTGAAACGGTTTCGAATTAGGGGTGGCAATGGGGCTGGGCCGGGGGAAATTTCCCCCGCAGGGCATCTTTGGGGTTAAAAAAATTTTATTATATAATTTCATTATAATTATATTTGAGCAAATAATCAAGTACTAAAATATCAACACATCACCAAATTATTATTCATTGTAACTTCAAAATTGAAACTCATAAAAATAATTAAACAAAGATTATTTGAATACAATCTAATATGATAAACAAATATAACTAAAATAATCAAATTTTTTCTTTTAATACAAATACAGTCACTAAATTATTATTGTATTTTTTTTAGAAAAAAGTGTTATTGTATTAAGTGTAATTACGAATTTAACATAAATGTATTAATAAATTTAATATAAATAATTAATAATTTTTATTAATAGATATGTATAATTAGTAGTATAATTGATAATATCATTATATATATATAATTATGTACACATGTATATATACATATTTTTTTTCAAACGGGTGGCGGGGCAGGGGCGTTTCTACATGGGAGAAAAAATTCCCCCCCCGCCCCACCCCCGGCCCCAATGGCCCCCGCTGGACGGGTGCCCGGTGCGTTGCCATCCTTATTTTGAAATACCTTTGCTTGTTATCAGCAACTACAGTAGTCCGCTTATTCAAATGATTGAAAAGAGAAGAAAGTAGGCTAGAAGTCTGTGATTCTTTCCTTCCTGAGTCAAAGATACATGGATTGTACTTGGCAGTGAGCAAAGGGGTGCTTTCATTTGCGAAAAGTAAATGAAGAGCCCGTCATGTTGTTTAGTACAAAGCATCCATCTGCAACACTCTTCTCCTGGGAAGGGAGACTACATATAGCAAGCAACCACAAGTGGCATTGTATTGATAACCTTTCTTATAGGAGCCCATGACAGTACTTCATTTCTGTTTGTGCTAAAAAATGAGAAGCAGGCAAATGAGCGTTTGGAAGAGCTCAACCAAACTTGTGTTCAGTGCCATTTTACCGCTTCCTAATAGAAAGAAAAGATTTGCCACATTTTACTAACTTTTGGGGGTTTGTAGACTAAAGTTCTCATGGCATTCTAATGCCAATCTCAGGCTAAAATTTCACAACGTTGCCCCATCCTCCCCATGACAAAGATGCTCACATGAAAAAGAAAAAGAAAGCCCTCCTTCTGAAATGGAAGACTACCATTTTTCATATGGATAATATCTTGTGCTCCGCCCTGAAATTTCAAAACTAATTGCAGAAACCTACTAAGATGCATACTAGAGCACAAAGTATGCGACTACTAGCATCTTCACTGAATAACAGGTAAAAGTAATAAAGGTCAACTTCGTTGTTGTGATTTGTAGACTTCATCTCTGGATGCAGTGTGAGATAACTACTTTTTTTTTTTACTTCATTTTTTTTTTCCGCTTTGTAATTTCTTTTCTAGGTTTATCAAATGAAATTGCGTTAGCATCTCAACTCTTTATAAGCTGTCACACAAAGTTATACACAATAAAACATCCTAATGCTTCACTTTTTTTTTTTAAAAAAAAAAATTCTTAGAGTGAAGATCTTTGATCTGATACATGTGGACCACTTCCTTTGGTTTCTTTTGTTATCTAGAATGTCTAAGAGGTCCGTGATGTTTTACCTAAGCTCAGAAACCTAAACCTGGTACCAAACCTAGTGATGCAATTGTTAACTGGCTTTTATTAGCATAATGCTTCCCTACAAAGCTAAACAGACCCTAAATTGTGAAGCATCAGAAACACTTGAAGCAAAATAAGACAAAAAAGGAGCAAATACCTAGCCTTACTACTTTTCTAAGGAGCTAATGTCCATGTTAGCTTTGTCCAGTTCTATAGCTAGTTATTAACACACTAGCTAGCAACTGATATCACCTCCCCGTGGAAAAGGAGAATAAGTCTCCATTCCAAGAATCCACAATCACTAACAATGAGAAAAGCCAATCTGGATGACAATGTGGAGCTTCACCTGGAAATCTCATTTATAGATGCAGAAGTAAGAGAAAATAAGTTGAAGAAAAATCATAAAGAAACACAGTGGCTGAAGATATTGGTTGCCAAATTGTGAGTAGTTTAAAAAAAAAAAAAACTTCATCAGATGATTGGCACAATAATTATTTATAATCCTGTGCTATTGCAGTTTAGCAAATCTGGAATACTCAGAGAGAGAGAGAGAGAGAGAGAGAGAGAGAGAGAGAGTCTTAGAAGGTGCAGCTAACAAAATCTTATTCTCAAGAAGCAGATTTTTGACAATCAAAACACAGAACAGATACTATCCATAAATGTCTAGCTAGACACCATTGTAGAATAAGACTTGTCTCCAATTACTAGAAACCAACTCCATTGTCTGAAATTGGCATTATACTGTATCTTTCTTTGGAAGTACATTAGAATGAATAGAGGGACTGTAAATTGGTGCCATTGGTGCCACAGTGCAGAAATAAAGATTAAAAAAAAACAGGTGATTCTATTGACGCCCAAAAAAAGCTAGATGCATTTCATGGCAATGGCCAATGATTAAACACTTCAGTTACAGTAGGATACAAAACAATGAGAAGGTGCACTATGTGCTCTCTACTGATGATTTCCAAGCACAATTCTTTTACCCATCAAATATTACTACTATTTTACATGTATAGCAGAAAATAGAGCTGCAATGGAAAAGGCTATAAAATAGACCTGAGAAGCCCATTATTAGCAATGGAAATTTATGATGCCAGGAATTTGATCATTCAGGGTTCTGTTTGTAGACGTAAGAGCCATCTATCTCCACACAGGGAATGTCAGCAATCCTTTGCCAATGCTCACCTTTTTCCCTCAAACACCGATCTCTCAGATGTGGACAGCCACTAATTTCAAGATGCCAAAGCCTGTCAAGTAGTTTATGACAAGGCAAGACCTGAAGTTTGGGGCAGTTCATAAGAGATAGATGTTGCAGGGAGGTCAAGCTATTAAGGCCCTTAAAGACAGATTTCAGACTTGGAAATCTTGCGATAGAAAATTTAGTTAATGATGAAGGAAAGAGATGTTCAGCATCACCAAATGAAACCAGCTTTGGAAATCCACCACAGATGGAGAATTCTTGAAGAGAGGCGAGTCTGTCAAGGTGCCATTCTGCCAGGGGTCTGAGTTTCCTAGAATCCCAGACCCGAAGTGAAGTTAAGCTCGATGGCAACTCTCCTTTGGGAAAAGTCTCAAGCTTTGGGCAACTACGTACTTCCAATGATACGAGGGATGAGATTCTGTTAATCTCTGCTGGTATGGAGTTCAGGTTTGAACAATATTCAATGGAGAGGATCCTTAGCTTTGGTGTGGGCAAGCCTTGATCAGGAAATGACTCCAAAGTATCACAATTAGATATGTAGAGTTCAACAAGACGTGAAAAATTGTGCATGTACTGAATTAAAGTCCCAATATTTTGCCAGTTCAAGACACTGAGGTCCTCCAGAGACATGCTGCTGTTCTGGTGAAACATTTCTTGTGAAACTGGTTGTAGATGCTCGCAGTTTTTTATGACAAATTTCTTAAAGCTAGTTGGGAAGTTACCTGCTGGCCAGGCCCTCAGAGATGAGCAATCCTTGAGCTCCAACCTTTCAAGACCAGAGATGCCATTGGGAAGGGCATTCAGTGCATTACAAGCCTGTATCTCGAGGCGTCTAAGCATAGGCGGGAGACCAAGCTCTGGAAAGGTCAGAAGTTTTGGGCAATTTTTGATGATCAACTCCCTCAAAGACATAAGGCTGCTCAGATCAGGAGGCAGGAAACATAGAGTTGCACAACGGAATAGTTCCAAGACTTCGAGATTGCTTGGCAACTGTTGATCATTGTCCACCAAGCAGACGAGACTTTCACAGTCTGCAATGACAAGGCGTCTTATGCATGTCAGAGTTTGTAGTCCAATTCCACTTTCCCACAATTTGAGGAAATCATTGCAGTTACATATCTCAAGGACTTCAAGTTTAGATGAGCACAGTGTAAGTTCTCTCGGAAGACATGATAACCCTGTAATTGACTCAAGCTTCAGGTATGTTAGCGAATTCAGATCCATGAAACTGTCTAGTACCTCTCTGGTGCACTCTTCAAGATCTAACTCGTGAAGAAGGGGAAGCTGCAAAGGTGATATTTTGGTTAGTTTGGGACACTTAAACATGGTAAGCTGATGAAGGTGAGGGAATTGCATTTCACCATCATTCCAAGACCATTCCTCCCAGTCAGGCATGCACTCAAACCTCAGAGTCTCCAGAGATGGAAATGCATGTTCAAGAGGATAATTACCCATGAAAAACTCAATGCCAATGCGTTTAATACCAAGCATGCCTCCTATGCGCAGGTGTTTGAGCTCGTGCAGCTGTCCGAGATGTGGTAGAGATGTGCAATTAACACAATTGCTGAGGCTGATGCTCTCCAATTTATCAAATAATGGATCACCAATCCAAGTTGGAAATTTCCTGCCTCCATAGAAATCAATCTTAAGCTTTTTAAAGTGTCTGTGAGGTTGTAGCATATCGAGCACATCTGCATCACAAGAATTATCAGTTTTGTTGCTCCAGATCAGCTGCAACTCCTCTAGGTCTGGCTTGTTCTTTAAATAAGCCTCCTGTGCTTCTTGAATATCCACTACATTTTGCAGTCCTTCAATGCTCAGCGTCCCTCGCAAAAGCGAAAGATTCTTCAGCTCACTTAGTCCCAATCCACAAGCTTTGCCCAAAACAATCTTAGGTAAAGTCTGCAGGCTTGTCAATTTACCAATTCCCTTGGGCATTTCTTTCAGTTGCTCTGTATTAGCATTGTCCAGATGCCGAAGGTTTATCAAATCTCCCAGAGTTTCTGGCAGCTTAGAGATAAAGCGGCAGTTTCGCAAGGATAACGTCTGTAAATTGTAAAGGTTGCTCAGAGACTCAGGCAATGATGTAACTGAAGTACCAGACAGATTAAGATATCTCAGATGTATCAAGCTGCATATGGGGCTTGGTAGCTCACTTATTGAATAGCCGCTCAAAGATAAAACTCTTAAGCTGTGTAACTCAGGCAATAAGTGGAGTAAAATTCTATTTGATATATAGAAAGGTGGCCAGACATGCACATTTTGAACTGGCATTGGTATGAACGTTCTTAAGCCTCGAACTTTGTACAAAGCCTGGAATTTGTTGAAGACTTCATATTCATGACGAAGAAATGAAGCATGGCGAGTATGTTCAGAAACTTTGTGCCACTCATATATCTCAACTTTATCATCTAGCCTATGGCAAGTTCCCCCAGCAACAAACTGTGCCAAATCATTGATGAGATCATGCATGACAAAACTTGATTGAGAGCCGCTTAACCGTTGGAAGAATGATCTAGACACTAGCTCATTGAAACAGTCGAACCCCTGCTCTTCCATTCTTTTCGTCCCCTTTGGTTGCTGCAGAAAACCTTCCCCCATCCACAGCAAAACCAGTTCGAGCTTGTCAAACTCATAGTCTTTTGGAAATACAGAACAATATGCAAACAATTGCTTCAGATGGGGAGGAAGATGATAGTAACTTAATCTGAGCACCGGAAGAATGTTGCCTTCATTAGGTAAATCCCATATCTTGCTATCCAATACCTCTCTCCACTCTCCAGGACTTATTTTAGAGCGCAAGATACCTCCAAGTGCCTTTGCTGCCAAAGGCAAGCCTCCACACTTTTTTGCCAAATCCTCGCCAAATCCTTTCAGTTCTGGGTGTTTTTCAAAATCTCTTCGTGCATGTTGAGCTAGCAGAGAAACACAATCATCATTAGTCAACCGCCCCACATGGTAACCTGGAACAGATCCCACCATCGATGCGACATTATTGTTGCGCGTTGTGACAATGACTCTACTGCCAGGAAGTCCAACTTGAAAAGGGCGACTCAAAAGATCCCAACTTTCATAAACCTCATTCCAAACATCATCCAAAACAATAAGGAATTTTTCCTTAGAAAGTTTGTCATGCAAACGCACCTGAAGCATATTCAAGTTCTTCGATTCGCTGCCCACTTTTGTCACAGACTCGAAAATTGTCTGAGTTATAGCAAGCACATCAAACTCTTCAGAAACACACACCCAAGCCTTAAGATCAAAGAAATCGTTGACTCTCTCATCATTATAAACAAGCTGAGAAAGAGTTGTCTTGCCAATTCCACCCATACCAACAATTGGAATCACACAAACATCATCTTTACACGTCTCATTGGTCATTAGCAACATATTTAAGATTTCTTCTCTTTCTCTTTCCCTACCATAAACATGGGATTCATTCAAAGAAGTAGTTGGATGTCTTACCACAGATCTACCCGATATCCCTCCATTGTCAGCATGCTGAACTAAGTTCAAGTCATTCTTTTGCTTCGCAAGTTCATCTAACTGAGCAGATATGGTTTTTATTCTTGATTGAATTCTTGCATTGAACTTGATAGCATGAGGAGTGAAGTTCTGACAAGTAGGAATAAGTTTCAAGATCTTACTTCTTCTAGAGTGATCTGGCTCCATCAACTTCTGGCGAAAAGCTTCAGTAGTAATCTCATCAACGATGTCATCCAAGTCATAAGCCAAATCCCGTAAAGATTCCAGCCAGTCCTTTATTCGTCGATCAGTTATCTGCTTATCCTCAGCATCAAGGATCACATTTTGAATCAGCTCCAGTGTTTTGCTCCATTTCTTGAGCTGAGCCCGGATTCCTTGTTGCCTGGCAAAGCTCTGCAACACGGGATAGGCCAGCTTGTCAAACAGTACCTGTAAAAGTGGTGACAGAAAAAGCTCCGCCACAGGCATTTTTCCTCCTTGTTGATGGTGGAAAATAAGGAAATCCAGAGGGAAAAGTTTGATCAAAAGAAGAATTCAATGAAAGCTGAAAATGGAACTCAAAATCAAAATCGGCCCCCAGAATCAAATTATGGTTGCAAGATGGATGATTGGTATTTTCAGTCTCAATGATTGCAAAGCAGAAATGATACTCTGATTTGGGTTCAGGAAAAAAGAGCTGAGATCGTTGACTTCGAGGAATTTCTCGCATTAGTCTTGCAGAAATTAGAAAAATTGCTCAATTGCCCCTTTTGTCTTTAAATTGTTTTAATATAGCCCCTACAGTTCAAACTGAAGAAATTTTGTTTGTGGAGCAAATGATGTAAAATATTACTAAACTAGCATTTGTTGTTCTTTGTTTTAGCCACCCAACTCTTTAATTTAGCCAAAATTGTCATTCAAATGATTAAAACATACTTCTTATGACCAAAAAGTGTAAATGTTTGATAACTTAAAATCAGAGAATTTTTTTTTTCTTTCTTTCTTCTCATTGTAAGGTTTGGTGTCTCCCTTTAGACCAAAAATTAATAGTCTAGTGACTCTTTATGCCATTTTCTCTATTTTGTGAGCTTATTATATAAGTCTTGAATTACATTCAACTTAGGAAACAAAAAAAAAAAGCTTTTAAGAATTCATTTGTTAATAAAGTGAAGTATATACATAAGTGCTATGGAAAATGGACTGAATTACTAGTAATTTCTAGTATAAAGATGATAATTAAAATTCTAATCTTACTTTAGAAGTGGTTTTTGTAGCAATTTGTTGTATAATCAATCAAAAATAAACTGATACAACATTAGGGATGTACTAATGTACATTCATACCAAGTTTTAAGACTTGTTTGTGATAGAAAAGATCATTTTATTTAATAAATTTGTACTAATAACAAAAAATAAATCATACAAGCATGACACACAAGAATATAAATTTAAAATTAATAGATACAACACATCTAAAAAACCAATACAAAATGATAATTCTACAACATTATTTGAGTCAAACGTACCCAATTTCCTCGAAAAATATGTTACCAACCAGCTGTAACCTTCGAATAGAATACTAGTTTATTGGCACACGGCAATGCTAGCTGGAATCTTCTCTCTGGTTGCTGGCTCTCTTCCAGGAAGTAGTAGCTGCCACCACATGTATTGACCAAAATTTTTTAAGGGGCAGTGGCCGTCCTGCAATAATATTGAACGTGAAAAACAACGGGCAAGTTGCTTGATGCCTTTGACAAGAACTTCTATACAGTTCATAGAGGGCATGATTTTTATTGTTCTTTTCAAGCTAAAGGTTGCAAAAGGAAGGATGAATTCTGATCAATTGTCTCCTAAACCAGACTTTTCAAGATCCAAGCGTACAAGATCCTAGAAGAGGGGTGATATAAATTGATCCTAGAAGAACTAACACTGCTCTAGCTACTGTGTATTATTCTCTTCTTTCTTTCTTTCTTTTTTTCAAGCATTTCGGTTGGTTCAATTATAAGTGATATAACAATATGTCTCTGTGAGAGTATACCATTTGGATGGTAATATTTTGTGTGTTTTTAGAAAAATTTATTGTTTCACTTTTTTTTTTTGGATAGATTTATCTGTGACATATAAGGTAATTAGAACACATGTTACACATTTCCAAAAACATGCTTTTGGAATATGCACATTCAAAAAGAGAATTTTCACCATTTTTATTTTGAAATTTAGGACCAATAAACAAATGAATGGTAGCATCAGTAGTGAATACGCCTGCCTTTTCCTTTTCAGTTATTTTTCCTAATATTCTATTGGAAAATCCTGTGAAATACAAACTAAATAATGATGCTCCATCTCCTTAATTTTAGAGACTTCCATGTTTGTATCTATCACTTAGCTATATTTTAGTCACTTTTTATAGGTGAACCCTATTCTAATACCACTAAGTTTCAAAATTTTTTTCATCCCTTATAGGTGAACTCTATTCTAATACCACTAACTTTCATTTTTTATTTTAAGGATTTTTCTACTCGTTAACACACCTACATTTCACTCAACCTACCATGTATACACACACTAACAATTACTACTTTCTCTTGCATTTATACAATTTCTCTAATTAATTCCCTTGTATTTATATGCTTTTCTTAATTAATCTTATGTTCTAAAAATCCAACACTTGAAATATATATTAACCTGTTAGACAGACTTTTTTTTTTAAATCTATTACATTTGCACTTCTTTTTTTTGTTGGGGGGGGGGGGGAGTGGGGTGGGGGCGTGGGTTTCAATATCGATTCGAAATAACTTTCATGTTTATCTTGAATCATACAGCTCCCAAGTAGGAAACTATTTAAGTTGTTAAAAGTATTTCCATAGAAACTTGAATAAGGGAAAAAATGTCCTACAAAAGGTAAATGGTAGCTTTAAACTGACACCAAAGAGTTACACCAATTAAGCTGTTCTTGCTTTATTGACAGGAAGATATATTTAATCCTCAATTCAAAATAATCCATTGTGTTTAATTTTTGTTCTTTTGTACTTCTTTTCGTTTAGGGGATCTCTAGCTTGAACATGCACCTAATATTGAATAAAAATAAAAAAGGCATAGTTCTTGCTGAATTGATCGAACAGTTTGGCTAACAAATACTCAAAAGGTACTTATTAAGACTTAAGAGGAATTTCAAATGTTAGGGATTTCAAGTGTATATATATATATATATATATATATATATATATATATATATATATATATATATATATATATATGAAAGTAAATATATATTGGTATTTGTATAAATTCACAATAAATAAAAAGTTTTTAAAAATTAGTAAATAATTGAACATTTAAAATACATTAATTTTTTAAAATTAATATGAATGAACATGTAGAAATGTTGTTAATTTTTATATTTAAATTATTCATATTTGTATAAATTCACAATAAATAAAAAAAAGACCGTGCGGGCAAAATTCTAATTAAGTTGAAAAAAATCAAAATGCGGGAGGTGCAATAATTGTGATGTGCGTATTCCTGGAAGGTGCAATAATTGTGATGTGTGTATTTCTATAATAAACTAAGTGTAATTTACTTATTTAATAACGAATACTCAATTACTGCAAAGTGTAATACGAAGCTCACATATTAGTTTTTGACCATTATACTTGTATCCTTATCTCGGTTAATGCGCTTTTTACACATTTTCCTTTACCGCTTTTGTATCTATCGTACATCTTGCATATTAATTATTGCTATTATTTTTAATAAAGAACTGTAATTTAAAGCTTTTATTTGAGAAGATATATATATATATATATATGTAACGAAATGATTTCCAGATTCAAAAGCTATAGAAATTTTTTTTTCTTTTTTTTTCTTGAATTATACTTTTCTGTGTGTCGCGCCCCATTTTTTTAAAAATAGAAAAATAATGAGTTTAGAAAAATGGATTTTTGATTTTTGGAAAAATGAGTTTTGTTTTTAGAAAATGAATAAAGGAAAAGGGCCTAAATGGGGTTTGTAATGCGACGATTTGGGCCCAAATTATAGTTTAAAAAGGGTTTTTGAAATAAAAATCGGAGTCACTACTTGGTATTGAGTTAAGGTGTACCAAATCACCTAAAAATGAATTTTTTAAAGAAAAAATAGAAAAACCCTTTTTAAACGACTCCAAGTCTACGAAAATCAGAGAAAAAGATTCGGGAGTCACATTTGAAGAAAGGGAAGGCAAGGATAAAAATCCAAGGCACCCTTTCAACCTAACCAAGGCTAGTTGCGTGATTTAGTCAAAGATTTTATTAATTTAACCTAAAAATTTATCACATTTGGATGTACTATATGAATGCAAACCCTAGACCTAGGAGGGTGTTGATGGGTCGAAATGTCTCTTCAAAACTTATTTGGCACCGATCACATTAATTGTGATGCCCAATGAAGACTCTTCGAAGAAGCCACGAATAATGCAAAAATATGAGACTCTAAGAAAAGAAAAGGAATAAAATAATTATACAAATATACATGTCTTAAAGGAGTGCATCATGTCGGGTACAGGGGACTAATGTTCGTGACTCAATTTTCCCTTTTAATAGAGGGAATACGAGCGTGCTAAGGCTAGAAAAGCCAAACTCGTCCATATCCCATATCCAAGAGGTTTTCCTATCTAAACAAGCAAATGATCTAACCTAGTTTCTAATTTTCCCCTAAATGACATGCAAATCTAATATCATGTTTCATGCAAAGGGGTAAGTAATATACCTATATAAGGGGAAATGCGGAACAGGGGATATAAATAGAAAGGAATATGGGATAAAGGATGTACATATATAAGAAAAGTGTCATGCAACATGGAAAAGACCCTAAAAAGTGAAAACATGCATGAGCTGAAGTGATTTTATCACACAATCATGATCTAACACTTGAAGGGCTCCTAAGGGTCTAGCGTTGGACTAACCCATATCTACAAATTCTCACTAGCGTTGGACTAGTGAAAAATCGGAACAAAGAGCCACAACTAGCATTAGACTAGTGTGGATTCAGGAAAGGGGGCCACAACTAGCGTTGGACTAGTGTGATAACACGTCACATATCAATTATAACTAAATTAATCATGTAAAGCTCAATAAAAGCATGTAAAGACATATATCACATAAGCACATAACACATAATCATGATATCTAGATGCCAAGCCCTAAGAAAGCGGTAACACATAGCAGGTAAGCAGGCAAATCACACAAAGCAATTAAAGCCCTAACTATTACATTTGGGGGGGAGGCCTACTACAATCTAAAAGGGGAAGACTTAGAAAAGTAAATCCTAACTATTACATTGGCTAGCTAAGACATGTCTTCAAGAGTGGCGCCAAAACCTAACTATTACAAATTGGGGTTCAAATGCCCTCAAATGACTTGCCAATTAAAGAAGGCGAAATAAAAAGAAAGCAAAACAGGCAATTAAACATTAATAAAATGAAAAGCGAATTAAAGTATGCATATTCACACAAAACACGTAGGAGCACGTAGGAGAAATGAAATCAAGGAGATAGAGGTTACCTCCCTTGCAATGGTAATGAGATGAAGGAAATATTAGCTCCAAAACAATAAAAGGGTCAAGGCACCAATTAAATAGTAAAGTATAAACAAAATCATCAGATCCCTCCCAATTGCAGCTTAAATGAAATCAAATAATGTATAGTTGCAAAGAAGGTAAATTATCCATCAAATTTCTAAAATAGCAAACTACTAAAGACCCAATAGCAACCCTTAACCAATCCTTCAAGTCCAATTGAAACATTTTGG